AAATGTCGTGAAAATTGGCCCCCTCAATTTTGGTTTAAAGCCCTTTTCATAAGATGAGCCAGTTGTTTTCCAAATATATGATTTCTTCCACCCAATCAACTATTTTATACTTTTTTCTGCTGTACTGAATATAAAAGGAAATCTGAGACTTTGTTCTAGGTTCCCTCTTTTCATATAGAGAGGATATTTGGAATATTTTTTCCTAGAGTATCCTAATAAATCAAAGAAATGATCTTCAATTCAGTTGCTTATTGGTAGGAGGGAGCCAAGGCAGAATCTAGGACCAATTCGGGCATCATGCTGCATTAAGGGTGCACCCACACCAGCTGATCTGAGCTCTCAGGTCCCCTTGATGTATTGTGTACTTCCCCTGGGTGGCTTATTCCCCAGCACTCCTGGAAAACAAAAATGCTGCCTGACATGGATTGACCATGAGATAAAAGCCAAAAAAAGGTCACCAGGGCATGTTTCTGCCAAAGTTAAGCAGTATTAGGCCACTCATGGCTCAGAAATAGCTGTGGAATAGGCAAATCTCAAGCTTTGGGACCCTCAAGACCAGCTACTCCAGTCATGAAAGACACAATGTATGTTAACAGGGCTTTAACCATGTTGGAATTGTTTTGTTTCCAAGGTCAAAAATGGTGATCTCACTATCATTTCTGGCAGAAGAACTGAATACCCAGCCTTTTCAGAGCACAAAAGGGAACGATGGATTAAGCTTATGGAGATGGAGTTGTAGCAGCCAAAAACAATGGAGTTTACTTAACCATCTCAACAATGATACAACCAAATTATCATTATATGCCAAAATCTCAGCTAGCCAAATTGCCCACCAGCTACTATTCCAGCCTACAAAAACATAAATAGAGGATAGTCAGGAACAAGAAATGGAAGAAGAGCAATTTGACATGTCCCTTTACAACAGGAGCCAATAGGCAGGTGTAAGAATGGCAAAGCAGCTGCCATTGACAAGATTCAGCTCCAGCAGATTACACATTTTGGACCTAAAACAAAAGAATCCAACCTCTATAACAGATGCTTAAACACTGTTCAGATATCCAACACATGGAGGAAGGCTGGTGTGATAGCCATACTTAAACCAGGCAAGCTTTTCCAGTCACTTATGCAAGCTATTTGAACCATCTGCCTTAGGCAGAACCTTCAGGTACCCCACTGCTCGCACTCAGCACTCCTGGCCAAGTCAGATCAGGATGAACTACAGCATTAAACGTTAAATTAATTTTTAAAAATCTGCAATTGTCCTGAGGCGAGGGCCTCAGCGTTGTGGCACAGAGACTTTGCCTGCTCCACCTTTCGTCCCCCCTCGCTCTCCAGGCGGCTCGAATCCCGCGGGAACCTTCCGGGAGTCAGATAAGAATAGAATAGAGCTGGAAGGAACCTTAAAGGTCTTCTAGTCCAGCCCGTGAAGGGAGGCGTTTGCCTGAAGCCGGGGCGGAAGAGGGCAGCCGCTCCCGTCCGCTTCTGCTCGGCCCATTTGCCGCCCGCACTCGTCTCGGTCCACGGGACCGGGGCAGCCCTCTCTCGCCCGGGGAGGGCGGAACCGCGGTTGGATCCGCCCAAGGCTACCTGCGAGGAGGTGACGGCGCGGCCGGAGGAGGAAGTAGGACGTCCGGGGGGACCGCCGAGTATCGGGAAGTGGCCTCGACTCTCGAGGCTTGAACGGGACGCCACGGCCATGGTAAGCCCCGTTCTCGGAGGGGGGGAAGGGCGCTGTCCGGGCGGGCTGCCGGCGATCGCACCTGCCTCCGGGACGGGGAGGGGCGCCGCTATTGGGCCCGACGCGACCCGGGCGGGGCGGCCGCCGCCGGCTGGGGGTGTCGCTGCCCGCCGCCCGGGGGCGCGGAAGCCGGGCGCCTTTCCAGCCTGGGGCTCCGGGACGCCCGGAAGGCCGCCTCGAGCCGGCCAGGGGCAGGGACGAGAAGGGCGGGGCGGCCCAGGTGGAGGAATCAGAGGGCTGAGTGCTTCGCCTCAGAACGGCTTCCGGAAAAAGCTCCGTCTTCGCGCTCTGCCCGCGCCTTCTAGGTTTGTGGGTGCTTCATCACTGGAGCTTTTCAAAAATAGACTGAACAACCATTTGACTGGGCTGGTATAAGACTCCTGCCTTGAGCACCCTAGTTCACAAGTTGGACCAAAGGACCTCCAGGTCTCTTCCAGCCCTATGATTCTACGATGGTATGAATTGACCTCTTGGTCTGGTTTATCTAGTGCAGGGGTAGGCAACCTCGGCTCTTTTATGACTTGTGAACTTCAACTCCCAGAATTCCTGAGTCAGCTATTCTGGAAGTCCACGAGTCATAAAAGAGCCGAGGTTGCCTACCTCTGATCTAGTGGAATTGATTCCAGGATCTGTTTTACATAGAAGCAGTCATTCCATTAAATTTCGGAGAAATGCAGAACAGCTTTATCTTCCAGAGGATTTTTCTCTCCTCACATGCTTAGCTTATGTCCATTCCATTCAGCAAGGGGCTCCATTGCAGCTCCATTGTGATGATGAGGACACCTTGTTCTGGTTCTGCCTGTATTGCTTGTCCTGCTGGTGGCTGCAGGGAGTTATTCTGCTGGTCCTGGGAGATGCCTGGCATACTTTTCATACCAGGAGGTAATTTGTATGTCAGCAATTTTTAGAAGTCTTTGGAAACTGCACCTAGTGTAAGGACCTGCCTCCGTTTCTCTAACAAAAAAGCAGTACTTAAAACTTGCATCATTTCAAAAGGAACTTTTATTGGCAGGTACAGAAAGCAGGAAAGTAGGCAGGATCTGAGGGCTTCCCACCCAAATCAATAAGTTAAACCCGCAAAACAATAACCCCACCCCAACTGTCCATCCGGGGTTCAAACAGGCCAATCCACAGGTGACATTGAGCTGTGGGAAAGCAACTGATAGGGTGCCTCTCTTAAGGTTGTTAGGTCTTCTCAAGTTCTTCCCTGCTCGCTGATGGCCCCAGGCATTCCTTTCACACCCCATAGAGGATACATCAAAGCAGATGGAGGCACTACAAGCCCCCAGCTACCCCCTCCCCCATAGAATGGCAAAACCCGAATAACCTAAGCCCAGAGAATATGCATGATTAATCATTGAGGGTTCTGACACCTAGTCATTGGAAGATTTTGTTATTGTTGGACAATGGTACCTTTCCCTCTTTGCCTGAAACTTTGATAACAGACCATCTCGGTTATGGCATTCCAATGTAGAGATAGCACGGGAAGGAGAAAGGAAAGGAGTAGGTAGGATCTTTCTCTTCCTTCTGCCTGCCAAAATCTTGTTCTTTTTCTCACCAGGAGGGAGGCAATGGAAGTGGCCCAGGGATGGCCAATGACCGGGTGAAGAATCTCCAGAATGAAGTTGAGGGTGTCAAGAACATCATGACACAGAATGTGGAGCGGATTCTAGCAAGGGGTGAGAACCTTGACCATCTGCGCAACAAGACGGAAGACCTGGAAGCAACGGTGGGCTTTCTTACTCTGTGTTGTGTGGTAGAAATAAACATGCACCCAAGTTTCACTTCGAGGTCCAGGACAAGAGTGAGGGGGAACCCTTAAACTTCTTCCCGAGTATAAGTCCAGCAGCCAGGGGTGAGAAAAGAGCAAAATGTTGATTATGCAACATAACCTTGTCTGTTTTGCTTTTTATACAATTGTTGATTCACAAAGGATCATGTATCAATAGGGAATGGCAGTGTTAAGACAAGCCAGATGAGGGAGGAAGGAAGTTACTTAAACCGAGTCAAAGGCAAGCCAGCATTCCTAGGCTTTGCTGTGCCATTTGGGCTGTATTAGCTCATCTGGCTTGAGGGGAGGAAAGCGATCCAGGAGAAGGCATGCGGAGAGGAGAGAGGCATCCGTGAAGCCAGAAGAGCCCCTTGTCTTATTTGGGGCTATTTATTATTCTCTGAAATGAGTAGTTGAGGTCTAAAGTGCCTCTGGCATAAGCCATGTGGGGTTTGTGATAGACATTTGGCAAGGTAGGTGAAATAACCTAGAGGGAGAAGGGTAGGTTCTCCCTGCAGCTCAGATTACCTCTGTGGAGAAATGAAAATTAGTTAATGAGCTGAAGAGAAACCAAACATCTTTGTTCAATATGCAGAGAATCAGACGATTGCCTCATCTCTGTGACAGCCCCTCAAGTACTGGAAAACAGTTATCACATCACTCCTAAACCTTGTTTGTTGGGCTAAAGTTGGATGGAATTCCCGTTTGAACAAACTCACTATGTTTGCACACTATATTTAAGCTTCATTATTTCATCGAACCATTTTGTGGGTTCACATATTATATTGAAAAAGCCATATCTGCGCAATATACTAAGACAGAGGTAATCAAGATTAGTATCTTGCATAAATGCAGGCAGTAGATCTTTAATTGACATGGTTGACTGTGTTTCATGAACACAGACCCTGTTTTGCTTCTGGGCTAATAAAATTTTCTTTTTAAAGATTGTAACCTCTTACAGTGGCCTGGTGTGCATGCAGAAGTCACCCTGCATGCTCACCAAGCGTGTAAAGGAGCACTTGCTTTGCTTGGGTAAGAGTTGATATTCTTTTTTCTTTTTTTTTCTCTGCACCTTCTAGTTTTATATTCTTTTTAGTTTGCATTTTTTTACTACGATAGTTGTAATTTTAATAAAATTGCTATTAAGAAAAAGTTTTGGTCAGTCAGAGTAGGCATCTGCCAATATATTTGCAAATGAAGCCTCCCTCCCCCCCTCCCCCCCCCGCCTCCCCAGGTTCAGGGAGGGAAGCTTCTCTTCACTCTTTGTAAGTGATGTGCATCTTTTTCTACAGTCAGAACACTTCAAGACAACCTCACAAAAAGTGGCCCGAAAGTACTGGTGGAAGAATATCAAGATGATTGCCATAATCTGCATCATTGCTGTCATCATCCTTATTCTCATCATCCTGCTTGCCACCGGCGTCATTCCGTCTTAAGTTTCTTTCCTCCCACTGGACTTTTCCTGGTCGTCATTCCCATGTTTTTTTTTTATTTTGCCCCCATCATCCCCTCTCTTAACAACTGAAATTCGTAAGATCCTTTGCCAGATCAAGAGGCCCAGGTTGCCTCACTGTAGGATCTGCCAGTCTCCCCAACCTCCCTCCCATGTCAGGACCAAAAGCATCCCAGCTCCAGGAGTCGCACTCTCTCTTGGGTCTACGTAGGGGCCCTCAGCTGTACGTGTGAATGTAGCAAGAGGAAGCAGAGACTGTTTCTGTTAGATGATCCCCACCCAGCAGAGCATGCTAAAATTCTGATTCTGCCAGTGCCTCAGCTGCTGCTTGGAGCAAAGCTCACCCACCTTGCCATTACATCATCCCGGATGGAGAAGAAGTGATTTACTGAAATTCACCTGGCAATATAAAGGAGAGATGTTTTTGAAATACTGTTTAAATGAAGAAGGGTGGCCAGTTCAGGTTCTCTAAATTTTTATTTCTCTCTCGGGAAAGTTAGCTCTTTAAGATGTCAATTCTGAGGTCCTGACTCCTTCAATTGGGACCCCTGAGTGGCATGGAGAGAGGCGGCTCCTCCTCTGGCACGTAGTCTTCTTTCAGCTATGGCCTTTCCAATCCAGTGCCTCTGATCTTTGAGGAATCTCTAGGAGATGTTTGTTCACTTTTGCATTTGATTTATTAACACTAATAAAAGTATTTATAAATCACTGGCTACTACACAGTGTCTGGATGAGGAGGAAAAATAGAATCTCCCCCAAGATGGGTTGGCTCTGGATTTGTGCCCTAAACAATTCCAGGATAGTTCCATCTTTCACTCTGAACAAGGTTGTGTTCCCTCATTTGGCAATGGTGCACAATTTCCGGACCTTCAACTTCTTGATAAGCAAGTGACAGCTGTGGCCAGCAGGCCATTTGCACAATTCTATCTTGTGTGCCAATTGCAACCCTGCTCACTTAGGAAGCCTTGCGCAGAGTCACTCACCCCTTAGTCACTCCCCTCCTGCACTGCTCTAATGCACTCTGTATGGGGCTGCCCTTTGAAAAGCATACAGAAGCTGCAACTGGTACAAAATCCAGCAGCGCAGGAAATGATACGTGTATCTCAAACAGGCACCTGACAAGACTTCCTGCCCTGGGAAGAAATGCTTAATTGTTATCTAAGAATTATTTGTCTGTAGTTGATGGTTGTTAAAGTACAAAGCACCAGACATATACCTTAAATTTTTTCCCTCCATCTTTACCGAGAGAAAGGTTCAGAGCAGTTACGCGCGCCAGATTCTCTTGCTTGGCCAGCTTCTTAATAAGAGGCTCTGTTATATACCGGATACCTAGGCTGCCATCTGAAATCAACAGCAAGGTTTTTGAGGTAGTGAGTGATACAGAAACAGAACAAGGAACAATCTAAACATTATCAAAGCCATAGAGGTAAATTATGGGAGTTGAAGTTCAGACATCTTAAAATGGCTGTATTAAACTTATAAGCTGCCGACTCCGTAACACTCTCGGTGCCACCTAATAATAAAAACTTTTAAAATCAAACAATCCATTCAATACAAAGTAGAAAAAGACCAGCAGGAGAAAAGCAGAACTCTTCCCTTCCATCAACTTCATAAGGCCTGAAATCTTTATGATAGGATTAGAAATCATATTCATGTTGGATGAAGTGGTAAGCCAAAACACAAATACAGATAGACTTCGACTTACGACACAGCTGAGCCCAAAATTTCTGTGGCTAAGCAAGACAGTCGTTAAGTGAGTTTGGCCCCCTTTTACAACCTCTCTTACCACAGTTGTTAAGTGAATCACTACCGTTGTTAAGTTAGAAATGTGGCTGTTAAGTGAATCTGATTTTGCTTGTCGGAAGGTTACAAAAGGGGATTGCGTGACTTCCCCGATACGCTGTGACCGTCATAAATATGAGTCAGTTGCCAAATGTCTGAATATTGATTATGTGACCTTGGGGATGCTGCAATGGTCCTAAGTGTGAAAAACGGTCATGCAACTTCGGACACTAAATGAATGGTTGTAAGTCAGGGACTACCTGTAGTGTATATTCTACACACACATACACAAAAATCTTAAAAAGCCACGCCCAGATAAGATAACCTTTATTGTCATTTTATACTGTGGGCAAAATGGCACACGTTAAAAATGAAATTGTTTTCTGCCTCTCAAAAGCGTAACACATGCATAACTCACATATAAACATGCTATATATATACATATGCTATATACATACACCCTTATATACAAATACATATAAATATCAATCATAATATTAATATTATTTAGATCTCCTAAGCAAAGTCCCTGAAGGAAAGCTACAACATTTGATTATATCCTTCACGGATTATTGCAATACCTGTATCGCTTTCTTGATCTACCTCTCCTTGATATCTTCGCCCAGTTGGTTGGTGGATCCCTCCTCTGTTCAGCGGAGATAACCTGCTACGGGCGCTTGCAGGAGACTTTGGACTCCGAGCACGGGACGGAGACATCTGTGGATTCCCAAGGGATGTTTTCTGTGGCTGGCCTCTCCTCATCGCACAGACCTCTGCATGTCACAAGGCAAAAAGCTGCAAGGAAAGACACCCAGGCTTTAGCAGGGCATAACCAATTGAGCAGCTGCTTCACTGTAAAACAAGAGAAGTCAGCAACTTTTAAACCGGCTTCCCTCCAAAATATTAACCTGCCCTGCACTAATTTTTCACAAGAAGGGAAATCAATCAGAAGACACGTTCTCCAAGGCAGCCTAGTTTTACACCTCCATCTTTGCTTACTCACTACATGCCTCTTTTCCAGAAGCTGTGGTTCCCCTTCAGCGCATAAAAACTTTAGCAGATGTTAGCTGCTGCTTTTACAGTTCCAAAGTAGCAGGACCCACTCAAGAAATCCCTTCAGTGTTTGCCCCGATAATTTGCTTCCGTTACCTACCTTGAGGCCACTAATAACAAGCATAGATTGTAAGATGACTCTCTCCTCTGTATCGGCAAAGGGGTAGCTACTTTTTTAAAGGTAAAACCAGAGATCAAACAGTTTCATATTTAGGAAGGAAAAAAATGACTTAAAAGTAAGATCTGAGGTTATGCTCTGAATGCATGTAACTTTTTCTGCATAATCTATTCTCTTAGATGTACACTTATGAAAGCAGTGCCCCAAATTTATTTTGGTATTTAATTTTTTTAAAAAATATGCCTTTGATGTTTCTATGTTCTTTCCTTTGGGCATGTTTTTACTGGTATACAAAAGAGCCAGTCATTGCTGGAAACTAGCTTAAACTAAAATCAGGAAAAACACATCGCCTGTTCTAAGTTCATTCTCAACAAATTTTTGAAGGAAGGCATCCCTTTTGTCTTGATGTATCTGTTCAATTGTATCAGATTTTATTGCTAATATATTATTTCTCTTCTGACTGCTTTGTTTCTTGGTATTGGGCTTCTTATCACCTCAGCAGGAGACAGCACTTGGCTGACCATGTTCAATTCAAAAATGGCTGCGGGTTTATGCCTAGATAGGAGACCACAAGGAAATCCAAAGTTATAGGGTAGACTGGGAACTTGAAAAAAAAATAGTAATAAATAGCTTCTATACTGCAGCAAAGAAAATTACATAGACAGGCCTATGAAGTCATAAGACGTTGAGCCTGAAGATAGATTATATTTATCAGATTTGTGTGGTCCTCTTATGCAGTACTAGAGAAATCATGAAGTTAACAAAGAAAAAAAATATATACATGTAACATTTTATCATGTACAGGAACATGCTGTGCTTGCAGATGTTGCTGGATTACAGCCCCTAGCAGACCCTGCCAGTATATCCATTGGCAAGGAGTGCTGAAAACTATATAATAGTTGTACAATATGCAAAAGATCACAGTTTCTCCATTGCAATTTTTTTTCTAACACATGAAGTAGAAAGCAGCAGATTTTATCAATCAGTAACCGAGTTTGTCCAACACAAGGAATCAGTCACCCACTTCTAATCTGTCACCCACTTCAGGGTGCTCTGCTAAAGTAGCCCATGTGGGGCTACTTTAAGTTCAGTGTCATTCAAGAACAGAAATAAACTCAACTAAGATAGCCATTATTATTTTGCACTTTCAGACAAGCACCTCTTTTGAAAACCTCTAAGGGGGATGGGGGGGGGTAAGAATTCCTATAACAGAAAAAGGGAGAAACAGTTTCAAACTTGGGTCAATTTCTTTCACAGGGCAAGACACCATGTATCAAAAACTCTATTATAACTTTTAAGCAAAGCAAAACAAATCAATCCTAGATTTTTTTCTTAAAAAAAACCTGGAAAAAATAAATTCAATATTTGCACAACAAAATAAAACCATGGGCTACCTGGCAAGATTGTAACATGGTGGAGAAGATGCAAACAAAAAAAGAAAAAGGGACTTTGAATTTTAGGTGGGAAGGAACTGCAACCAGAAAATTTAATACAGTAAATACAAAAAATTAAAATAAAATAATGGGTATAGGTAGAGCATAGGAGATGCTTTGGACTACAGTTCCCATTAGCCAGCCTTGGGGTGAGGGCTGATGGGGATTGCCCATCTTGCAACACACTGGCTAATGGGAACTGTAGTCCAACGCATCTCCTATTCTCTACATATAATCATAATTTTATTTTTTTTATTATTTTCTTGTATTAAATTTTCAGATTTTTTTTTAAAAACTGGGCCTTTGCGGGAGGGGCCGTGCAGCCTCCAACCTTACTCCGGCCTCTCACGCACCACGAGAGATCCGCTGACTGCCTAAGGGATGGGATTTGTAGTTCAAAGGCTCCCACCCCCCACCCCCCTCTCCGGCGAGACGAAGGCTCCCCCAGATGGAGCGAAGCCTCCAGGAGAAGGCATTACACACTGACGCACAATGTCGCAACTGCCCAATCTCCCCTCACCTGCGCAGCTTCGGCCCACCTGGCTGGGATGAAGCGCCGCGCGTTGCTTCCCGCCGTTTCCATGGCAACCGCTCCGGGAGCTGCGGCCGGGACCGGATTGCGAGGTTGGGGGGGGGGAAACAGCCGCGCGCGCCCACTGTGCGCGTGCGCACGAGCGCGAGCGCGCCCACTGTGTGCGCGTGCGCACGAGCGCGAGCGCGCTCCCTTCCCCCGCCCAGCGCCACCCAAGGACCTCCTGGCGAGTTTCTTCTCGCGCGGCCACTTCGGCCGCGATTGGCTGCTCCGAAAACCCGTCGCTCGGATTGGCTGAGAGGCCTCTCTCCTCTCCGAGAGGCGGGGGCATTTAAAATGACGGCGGGCTCCCTCAGGCTGAGTGCAAAAAAGAAAAGCGAGCGCGCTGCAGAGGCTGCAGACGCCGCTACCGCGTCTCTTTTTCCTCAAAAGAGACGATGCTGCGGGGCGCCGGGGGCAAAAATGTCTCTCTCTCCGGCGCTCCCGCGGCCCAAGTCCTCGAGCTCGAGGCCGGGCAGGGCCTTTTGAGCTTTTGAGGTAATTCTGAGACTTTTCTACGTTGTAAGATACGGGGGGAGCGGGAGTTGTTTAGCTAATGAATAGCCTGTTCTCGCGGAGTAAGGGGAGCACCTGTGGTAATTTTAACCGCGGCGTGTATTCTTCGGAGTAAAACGGCCAGCGGTGGCTGAGGTAATATCAACGGTGTGTTATTTAAAAGGACGCCGATACCACAGGTCACTAAAGATAGTCTTTCCTTTAGGGAATAACGCAATTCTAGTCCAGGTGAATAAGAATTAAAATTAGTTTTAAAGGTAAAATTGCCTCGAGAGCTGACCTGGCTCTCGGGAATAAAGCAAATTCTTGGCGTCCGGGGTAAGTTTAGCCAAGACTCGAGTTCTTATAGTAAAGTTTTGGTGGAACCAGAGGTAATTTCAACAATGTCTCTTTAAAAAAGAGCAAGCCACCACAGCCGAATAAGAGTTAAAATTAGCTTCAAACTACCAACAGGTGGATAAATAAATTTCGTTTTAAAGGTAAAATTGACTCCGGGGCTGACCTTGCTCTCGGGAATACAGCAAATTCTTGGCACCTGAGGTAATTTTAGCCATGTCCCTTGAAAAAGGAGCAAGCCAGCGCAGCTGAATAAGAGTTAAAATTAGCTTCAAACTACCATAGGTGGATAAGAATTAAAATTCGTTCTAAAGGTAAATTCTTGGCGTCTTTTAGCCAAGACTCGGGTTCTCAGAGTAAAATTTTGGCGCGCCTGAGGTAATTTCAGCCATGTCCCATTAAAAAGGAGCAAACTATCACAGCTGAATAAGAGTTAAAATTAGCTTCAAACCATAGGTGGATAAGAATTAAAATTAGTTTTAAAGGTAAAATGGACTCAGGAGCTGACCTTGCTCTCGGGAATAAAGCGCCTGAGGTTATTTTAGCCAAGACTCGGGTTCGCAGAGTAAAACTTTGGCGGAGCCTGAGGTTGGATTAGATGACCTCCAAGGTCCCTTCCAACTTTAATAATAATAATAATAATAATAATAATAATAATAATAATAATAATAATAATAATAATAATAATTTCAGCCATGCCCCTTTAAAAAGGAGCAAACCAGCAAAGGCGAATAAGTTAAAATTAGCTTCAGAATAAAGTCAGAGGTAATCTCAGCCACGTCTTTGCAGGCTAAAAGCACTTCAAGGAAGAAAAGGTGAAAGTTAATTAAAATTACTTCGGGGCCAGGAGCTGATCTGACTCTCGGGAATAAAGACGAGGCAACTTTAGCCAGGTGCCGTGAAAAGGGCTAAAGGCAAAATTTAGCTTAAAGGCAAAATTGCTCCAGTTATCTGGAGTTGCCCTTTCTTTCTTGAATACACGCAACTCTTGGGACCTGAGGAAATGGTAGTCGAGGCTCAAATCCTTAAAACGGGAGCCGCGACTTTTTTTTTTTTTTTTTTGCATTGCCGGAGCTGGGTGGGCGTGGCCTCCGTATGACGCCACCGGCTTGTGGGCCGGCAGTGTGACACCCGCTTTAAGGATTTGAGCCTTGACTTTCTTGAATACACGCAACTCTCGGGACCTGAGGAAACGGCGGTCGAGGCTCAAATCCTTAAAACGGGGGTGTCAAACTGCCGGCCCACAAGACGGTTGCGTCATACGGAGGCCACGCCCACCCAGCTCCGGCAATGCAAAAAAACCACGTTGCGACGTCACGGGACGTGGCAAGTTTGACACCTCTGCTCTAAAAGAAGCAAAACATGTAGAAGACCACTAATTGCTCGAGAGAACAATGTTACAATTCGTTGTATCTTGCCTTCTTTCACAGTAGGATAAAACACATAAAAGCCCCTTTGACTACTGATAGCTTTTCTAGCCTCTGAACATCCATCCACTGGTCATTTGGTGATGTTGATTTTTTTTTTTATTATTTCAAAGGCATGAATCCATGTAGACGAAGAAGAAGACATCAACAGTAAGACAGATGGTTTAATTCACTCCCCAGTATATCATGAAAGTGTGGAAGCCTGGCAAGTACTGTTTGCAACATGTTAACTACTGCAAAAATCTTTGGGCCTTGCTAAAGTTTACCTTAAGGCTTGCTTTAGCAGTTTAAAAAAAAACATTACAAAGTATCAAGGCTAAAAAGAACAGTCACAAGTTTGACAAACATGCCTAAAAAGTAGCAAAAAAATTGACTCAAGAAAATTTTAGCTATTGGCTGTGGATCTTAGAACCAGACAGCTAACCAGCCTCCTCCAGTGCCTGAGTTGGCTCAGCCAATTTCACTGTATACATGTTATACTTTGATAATAAAGGGTTTCTTATTATTATTTACTGTTAGTACCAGCCAGACTTCTTAGAACCAAAAGTAAACTTGATGATGCAATTTAATATGAGGAATACCAATAAAGGAGAATATTTGTGGCTCAAGATTGAAATGAGGCATCCTTGCTGCTCTCTGAGCTTGGCGGTTTTCTTGTAGACCAGGCATGTCCAAACTCGCGACGTCACATGACGTCATTTGTGCAACGTATCGGGCTGGTTTTGCCCTTGCCGGCAATGGGGTGGGCGTGGCTTCCACATGACACGTCTGGCCCGTGGGCCAGCAGTTTGACACCCCTGTTGTAGACATTTCTTTACCAAACTAGGGAACATCATCAGTGCTTGAAGGGAATGCAGTTTACTCTCAGTTTAGGTTCTAGTGGCTCAGTGTTGGTGAAAATGGTCTTGGAGGTTCTTTGTTGTGCTATGTGTTGTTAGCTTCTTTGGCAGCTCCTTGATTAGGGTATTGTTTACTTCTTGATTGTTGGTCTGGAAATTTAGCCCTGGCAATGGTTCATAGAACCAAAAGGAAAACTTCAATGGCCCTTTTTAATGTTAGGTGCGGCCATTGAGCTGTAAAAGATGTTATAGTTTTCTAGCTTTGCAGACTGAGCAGACAAAGTGCACTCTTCTGCGAATATTCTTCGAAAGAGACAACGTTGCTGGGCACAACTGAGGAAGAAACAAAGAAGAAAAAAGAAGAAAAAGAGAGCAAGAAAATGTCTCCAGCTCAAGCCCTCTTAGTCTTCGGCTGTGATGGCACCCTCGACACTGAAAGGTACATTGAGTCTTGTATTCTTTAAAGCTTTAGGACAGGGGTTTTCAAACGTGGCCCTTTTATGATTTGTGGACTTCAACTCCCAGAATTCCTCAGCCAGCGTGCTGGGAGGTGAAGTCCACAAGTCATAAAAGGGTCAGGTTTGGAGACCCCTGCTTTAGGATATGGAGGGAGGTGAATGGTCTTCCACTAATTATGCCTAGGTAAGCAAGGGTAACACCTGTGTCTGGGGTAATAGTAAGCACTGTGTACTGTGCATTCTTAGGAGTAAAACCCCAATTCCAACTGAAGTAATGTTGACTTTTTTTATTTCAAAGGCACGAATCCAAAATGACCTGTAGACGAAGAAGAAGACATCAACAGTAAGACAGATGGTTTAATTCACTCTTCGGTGTATCATGAAAGTGAGGAAGCCTGGCCAGTACTGTTTGGGCCTTGCTGAAATTTACCCTAAGGCAGTGGTGACGAACCTATGGCACGTGAGACAGAGGTGGCACTCTGAGCCCTCTCTATGGGCACGCGCGCCATTGCCCCAGCCCCACCTCCCCCCGCAGCCCCCTCTTCACCAGCAGACCCCCGGAGGAGAATCACCCCTGGGCATGGCCCGTGCGCAGCAGCCCAGACAAGGACATAGCAGCCGGGCAGTGGGGACAAGACTCCGCCCCTTGCACCCTGTCGCGTGCAGATGATGCTGTGGGGCGCAGGCGGAAGGTGTGGCTGCCATGGCACTGCAGGGCCGCCTGGGAGATCTGCGACGGGCCATGGAGGCGGTAGGTGGCCCTGCGGGATGGCAGAGCGGGATGGGGAAGCGGGCGGGCGGGAGCAGGGGCAGGGCGCTTTTTGGACACTCTAAAAGATATAAAAAGTTTGCCATCACTGCCCTAAGGCTTGCTTTAGCAGTTTAAAAAAGTGGTCTTTGTTGTTAGCTTCTTTGGCAGTTCCTTGATTAGGACATTGTTTACTTCTTGACTGTTGGTCTGATGTTAATCATAGTGTTAATCTATGCATATCTCAGTGTGGATTGCTGGTGAAGAGGTGTTTTTTTTGCAAAGTGGGTACATATTGTTTCTGTCTGTCTATTGATGGCTAATTTGTCAGAATGACAGGCTCCTAGAAATTTATTACTGTTTTTGGACATTGCTTGGTCTAGGACGGGTAGGCAACAGTGGCTCTTTTATGACTTGTGGACTTTAACTCCCAGAATTCTGGGAATTGAAGTCCACGAGTCATAAAAGAGACAAGGTTGCCTACCCCTGGTCTAGGATAGTCAGTTTTCCAACTGGAACTATGGTTAGGTCTTTGAATTTGTTGTGAAATTAAAAAGTTTTCATTATATATTCTGGCTGCTCCCTGGTATTATGATTGATGTTTGATTTCATACCTTTCTTCCCTAGCATACTTTTAGCCATGGTGATGGTTCTTAGAACCAGAAAGGAAACCTCAGCGGCCCATTTAAATGATCAGTGTGGCCGGTGATTAATAATAGATTTTATAGATTTATTCCTGGCATAATTCTAGCCAT